CTCGAATGTGAACCAGATTCTTCGACACGAAACGAAGTTTTGTGTAAAGGTAAACGAGAATGCAAACAGACAAAACCTGACGAAATGCCTGTAAGCTCTATCCACCCGCGGTTTTATATCTAGTAGTCTGTTTGAAAATCTGATGCCAGTCGGAACATCTATCTCTATCTATCTATATGCACTGCCAAAAGTTCACAAAAAAGATGTACCTCTATGCCTAATATTGTCCATGACAAGCTCGCATGTCATCCTACAGTCCGATGATTGGCAGAATTGGTGGAGTCCATAAGAAAACGAATTGCTTAACGTAGTGTTCGGGATAGTTTTATACTCGTAGAGCACATTAGAGATAAGAACCTGAAGGAGAAGACAATATTATCACTTGATGAAGCTTCGTTATTCACGAATGTCCGGCTGATAGAGACAATAGAATATCTATGCAACTATGTGCAGGAGAACTGCATTCATTTAACTATAACCTTACCAAGCCTGGAAGAATTACCTCTGAGATGCACCTACAATGTTCGGTTTCTTTCCGACGGCATTACTACCGGCAGAATGGTGGGGTCGCAATAAGGTCCCCACTCGGATCAGTGCTGGCAGATATTTTCCTTGCAAAACGAAAAACTGATTCATCGGGACTACTTATAGATCGCTTCGACCATTACTATCGCTATATGGATGACATCTTTTGTGTGACCCATAAAGATATGTCCATAGAGGATATATGGGTAGCTTAATGGTGCGCACCCGGCGAATAAGTTCACCTACGAACTTGAACAAGACGATCAGCTCTCGTTTCTGGATGTACACCTTAGTAGACGAACTGGCGGTTCCATATTAAGAAAAATCAACAGAAAGAAAACGTGGATCAGTCAGTATACAAACTTCAGTAGTTTTGTACCGCTTAAATACAAGCGTAACTTAGTACATTGTCTCATCTCAAGGGAGAGAAAGATATGCTCAGAGGACGCGCTGGAGGATGAGATGAAATCCAACAAAACACGCTGCACGAAAGTAGTTATCCGGAAACATTCATTCAGCGCAACATGCAGCCCAAAATGACATCGGCCGCTGAGGAAGTAGTCGACAAAAAGGCCCGCTTCATCCGCCTTGGTTTTAAAGGTGCCGCAATCGATAAGAAACACTTTTCCGGCTGCGGAATTACGATGCATCTTCGCCACGAACCAGCTAATCCCCGTGTGTAACAAGGACAGACTGCCGAAGCTGGCCACTTCTTACGTTATCTCTCGATTTAAGTGCACATGTGAGGCAATATATATTGGTCGGACGGCTCGTCAATTGTCACGTCCTATTAAGCCTTAAATGGTTGGTGAACGGGGCCACCGGAGTTCTTGCAAGCGGTATTTTGTCTCATCTTTTCGAATCAGGTCACCGGATTAATCGCCCGAATGCCTTTACTGTGATTTATCAGATTCCAATGAGCAAATCGTAAGGTTCGCGGTTAAGGATGTTCGCCACTGCAGAGGCTATTGCGATCCGCATATTCCAGCCCCCAATATGCTCGCAAAAAAGTTTGTTCAATCTCTATATCTGCCATAGCCGAACAGTCATCGGTCTAGCCGTCACCCTGACATCGGCACAGGCATTGTGATTACGTAACCCCCAATCAATCTGTGTGAATGAGACATCGGCGAACTATTTGCCGAGTCATTTCAGAATAACTTTAGTTTGATTCCAGTAGCATTACCGCTGCTGTCGATTAAGCTAGGAAGTAGGGGTAGTTATTGGGGTCGGGATGGGAATAAAGTGACAGGTTGTAAGGAAAGCAGGGTGACACCAGCAGTAGCGTGCTTTCGCTTATTTGTCCTGCTGTTTGTGACAGATAAAGCAAAATAGAAGTTTGAAGAAAAAGTCGTAGTTGAACGTGGGCTGAGAAACTGCCAGAAAGCCCAGATCTATACAGAAGGACGGTTAGTGTCCTCCACCAAAGCCTCTGGTTCAAATTCTGTCCGCAAGACAGCGGTGTGGTGGCAGTGATTAATTTTTACAGAAATAGACCCCATCCTATTTTAAACTCCAAAAATGGAGAACCAGGAGACTGAGTTTGACTGGCCTCTGGCCATTGACCAACCTTTTCAGTTATTTGCCAGCGAGAGAGCACCATCATCAGCCACGCTACCAAGAATGGTAAATCGTCTCCCACACCCAGTATATTGCACATTGGATATCTCAACATCTACGTACCGTGTCGGCCTGCAGGTGACGTTCGTTACCACTTTACACCCATTCTGAGATGATGTAGGCTGTCCCCGAAACATATGCAGCACAACAGTTTCTAATGATCTATGCTTAGTAGACAAATAACTCAAAGACGGGTGGTGTTGGGTCGATGACACGTAACATTGATGGTGCTAGAGTCGATCTCATCAGACATGTAGAGGTCGAATACTGAAAGTAGAGGGCGAGTAGTTGGAGACTTGTGCCACCCCATCGAAATGGGATCAAGCGCGCTCGTTCGCACGGAATCACGTCACCAATTCCTGAGAATTTGCAGCGCATTACAGCTGCACCATATCCTACTTAGGTGCAATAATAATAAATAATGTGTCAGCTGTACGCCGTAACGGCGCTTCGCTGTCGTGCGGTCACCATCAGTCGCACCCGGGTTGAGCACGCCGCCAGGACGCCCATCCATACGCGGATTCCTAAACCGCGCCGCAAGATTACGGGACAAGCTCGCTACATCTAGGCCTAAATGGACAAATTAATAAATAAATGTTATATTCCTCGGCGATACGAGGCACAGTCCAACTATGTAATGTGATCAACTTTCAAACTGAGGGTTTAGGAACTACTCGAATTCCGACACCGATTTCGCCTCGGCTGTTGTCTCAGGTAAACTTACAGTATTTCACTATTCGACCCTCCAAACATAGAGGATGTTCTGTCCACTTCACACCTGGTACTCCTAGGTTCTACCGATGCTCGCGCGCACTGTTTGGTGTGCGCATGGAAAAGTGTTTAAATGTAAAATTCCAACTGTCTGACCTTAGCATTGCTCACGCGTTGTTGTCACCGGACATGAGCACAACTCTGTACGCGCCTGTGATCAAACAAGGCCAAGCGTTTAATGTCTCCGCTGCGAACTGGCCAGTAAGACCGGCCTTATCGTAGTGTTATACATCCTCCCTTCCATTGTCAGGCTAATATCCACCAGTTTTCATAGAAAGTGAGCCTCTGGAAATTCACACTGGCCTTACTGATTCGCCAAGTAACAGCCTCGGTGATGTGACCACCAAGGGTGACACAACTGCCACGGTAAGTGAAGCGGCCGAGCACTTTAAACATCTACTCTCTGATAGCTAAAACCGGCGGCTTATCGGTGCAGTCCTGCACTTTGAAAGCACAAAACATGCCGAAGCGCCAAGCGTCAGTCTGTGCAGTATTACACAGCCATTGCGTTGGACCTAGGAAGAGCACTGTCGTCCGCATACTCATGGGTTGTCAGTCGGTCACCTGACACAACTTCCACTCCGGTAGACCCTGAGAGAACGGGGCAGTTGATGATCATTCTGACCACATGATTAAGGAGGTAAAACAACCTTGGTGAACCCCACTTGTCTTGGGGAACTCAAGAGATAGCTTTTCCCAGACCCTAACCCGGCCTCGGAATTCATCCTCGGGACTACAGAATGTAAAGGAAGTTAGCTGGCACACCGTTCACAGGTAGACAGTGCCACAAGCTAGCTCGATCAACAGAGTTGAAAGGGGCTTTCGAGTCAGAGGAAAACACCATAATCAGTCGTGTATATGTGCGTCTGTTCTAACATTTGATGAAAAGTAAACATGTGCTTGATGCAACCACGACGGTCACGCTACCGAAATGTTTGCCACATGTTGCTTCAGTTTGGCCGTTAGGGTTTGCAAGGCTTCAGTACGGCTAGCATATGTGTATGGACCATAGGATTGGCAGTGGAGAATGCGGACATTAGGAAAGTAGCCGTATTTGACCACGGATACCCGTAAAATCTTGCTCATATGTGGGGGAAAGAACCTAGAGATTGATACTGAAGTTCTTAATCCGGCGTTCGACAACAGGCCCTCCGGGGGCTCATTCACGTGCTTCGCTTAGACTGCGTCTAGCTGACCGAAGTCCCGAGACGATTGGTTCATTGCAACGGCATAAACGCATGAGGAAACTCACCGATAATAAAAATAATAATCGGCCTGCTGGACGGGGGTCTGGAGAGTCAATGGTGCTTTTGCATTTGTTCCCGTCATTTTTGACACTCGGTTATTCCATCTGACGATTTCACTCTTGAGTGATCATTACTGTTCCACAGCGCGTGCCTAGGTAGCTGGATCTATCCCACTATTTGGCTCACCAGTCATCAGTTTCAACTCCAAAATAGTTCTCTGAGTCGGTTGCCGAACGACAGAGTCTAGTTCTTAACCCAAATCTGTTAGATGAGTGACCTCGCACGCGACTGTTAATGATGGCGTGACAACAAAGCGTCGGCATACTGCCGACGCCTGTCTGACCCAACCATTATTCATGCCGATAGTGGCGACCTACTTTCTGTAATTTAAACATCTGGATTGGGGATAAGCTGCCTATAGTATTCACATTTGGCCTTCTGGTTACAGACAGTAGATTATGGAAAAGCAAAATAAACACACTTTTGGCCGTAACCCACTTTATCTGATTGAGCCTTAAGTCGAATGGCATTCGTGCGGGTATATTGTACAAATGATTCAAGCAGTGGTTTCTGTACGTCTGCTGAGTGCGAATCCGACATGGCGATTTGCAAAGAATATATCTCGGCTGACAGCTGATATTTGTCTCGTTCTAGCTTAGTACGCTCCGTGACCTGGGTGTCACCTTAAGAACCAATGAAAGACCAGCGCATCCTAACTACAAACCTGGCAACTGAGATGTCGGAAGTATACAGTGTCTGAACTCGTTTTGTTTCTGATTGATCTAGAAGTTATATGTTCCTGATGCGAATTAACTCCTGAATCTTTTACTTTTTGAGGCAATACTGCGAAGAGCGCAGAGGCAACTCCTGACGGCGTCACATGACGGTAAAAAAAAAGAATCGGACCCCAGGCGATTACTACGAATTGTCGTGTCAACCTGGCTCACGCCGCTTATGTGCTGCGTGCGAGTGTCCAAGAGAAGACCGGCGCTCGAATTCGACTCATCCCTATGTAAATTGCTTTGAACTGTGCCGAATGTATACTTGCTAGTTGTAATGTTTCTGTATAAAACTGGATAAATTGTGTTAATAGTAGTTATTGTCACGTCTGTGGTAGTCTGACGTAGTATTCCAGGTTAGTTCACCTACTCAGCCGAGCCTGTGTAAGTGCGATCAGGCTCACAGTATCCTTAGCCTACTGAGTGTGGATGGTGGATCGCGTGTCGTCAGTACAGCTGACACTTCAGCTGATCACCAATAGTTCGGGCACTGGAGAATCGTGGACTCAGTCACCATGACCCATGCTACGGAGAATGCAGAAACAAAAGTGGCGTAAATGTACTCACGATTGTCAGAGGAATCTAGTAACAACGAAAAGTAAGACACTGAATTCACGATTTAGTCGAGACTAATGGAGTTCCTTGCCCGTAAATGTAAACGACCGTGAGGTCATCTCGCATATCAATGCTTCGATTCCTGTCTATAAGAGAACCGTTTTGTCAGCCCTTCGTGCATTGTACAGTGAACGCCTGTTAACAAATATTTCCGTGTCAGCAATTGAAATCGTGATCTCCCGCAGCTTGGACAATCTATTGGAGCATCGTGCCTACGAGGGTTGGTCAGCATGAACGCCGTTTCTTGGAAAAGTACCTGCGATATGATTCACATTCCAACGCGACTCAAAAATTGTGTTGCAAGATTTTGTAAACGCAACCCCTTGGGCTCACGCAGCAACGGGTACTCCGTTCAGTGGTCTAAGCGGAATATGGTATGATGTCTATCTCAGGACCACGTGTGGTCCTGCGTACTGATTGTCAACGTAGATCCATCGCAAAATTTGATACGTTTTTCAACGGTCGCAAAAATATCGAGCCGTATGTGACGGTGGAATGCATGGTCATTATGTACCCGGTCTGCGTCCGCTGAAGGCGCACACATGTTGGGCACTTGTTCTCACATGCAAGCAAGCGGATTTTTACAATGCTTTAACTATGTTCCTTTTAGTTTAGGGCCGCATAGATTGCAAGCAGAGAACCCTATGTATGCTGAAAATCAGTCTGGCATTTCGTGCAGCTGGATTGTTACACCAACAATCCTGCCTATTCACTCATTCTAAAAGAACTATTATGCAGTTTGAGTCGTACAGCAATCGAAACCGTTTCTTACCAGAGGGGATTTGCTCGTTCCTTACTGTCCAGACAACTCTGTGAACTGCCCTCTTCGTCCCTAACAGCACAGTGTTCTTATCAGGAATTTCCACATTGGTCTTGGCAAACTTAGTGAGACGAATGACCCTCGGAGAACAGATGGCAGTTTTTACAAACCACTGATAATAGCTTATACCGGTCTGAACATAGGTACTATAGTGATAATTCTGATCGCCTCCAAGATTCGAGCACTGTGCTCACTCTGCGATCCCCTTCAGGGGACGCAAGCAGTATTTTCTCCTTGCGCCTATCCGGTGACGATGCAGCTTCGAGCACCGGCCAAGCTGGTGTTGGTATTGCCCTGAGTCCCCGGGCTGAAGCTGCTCTGGTTGATTGGATTCCAATCAGTAGCCGGATGTGTGCGGTCCGATTGGCTGGCTCGTTTAAAGCTTCGAAGTCGCGCGGGACTAATAGATGTCTATTCATCATCGCTGCCTATGCGCCCACAAACTGTAGCGATGATTCGGTAAAGAACGACTTCTACCGCCAACTGACCCAGCTCCTTCTCCACAGAAGAAGCACGGACACTGTTGTGCTGGCGGGGGATATGAACGCACAAGTTGGAAAGTTGTCCACTGATGAACTGCATCTGGGCGGTCAACACGGTGTAGACTCCCGTAATGATAACGGTGAGCGGTTACTTCATTTGTGTGAAGATGCTCGCTTATTTCTTGCGAGCACTAATTTCCGACACAGCACCCGCCGAAGGGTGACTTGGCGCCCACCAACCTCGAACCAGCCTTGCACGCAGATCGATCACATTGCGATAAGTTACCGCTGGAGAGGCTGCATCCAGAATTGTCGCTCGATTTGGAGCACATGTGTGGACACCGATCATGCACTTGTATGTGCTGACATGCGGATGCGTTTTGGCGGACGCCCACGACGACGCTGTGAGCGTATTGACACCAGCCAACTGACAAAACCAGCTGTTCTGAATGCGTATCGAAGTACGCTAACATGCGAGTTGAGCAAGCGCTCACAGGTGACAATTGATGGTCACTGGTCACATGTTCGCCAGACCTTACTAGCAGCAGGCAAATCCTCATGTGGTATGTCTAATAGACAACATGGACATTGGGTCTCTTCGCAGTCTCTGGAACTTATAGATGCTCGCCGGCAAATCCCGGCTGGAAACGAGCACAATGAAACTCGCAAAGAGCTCCGGGCGAAACTCCGTGCTAGCCTGAAGAGATCGCGAATCTTGGTGGTCTCATCGTGCGTCAGAGATGGAAGTGGCCGCTGCCCTTGGCAACCATCGTAAGTTATTCCGTCTGATACGGGAAACGGGCAGCAGGAGACCTGGTGTTAGTGAAACTATACGTGACGAGAGTGGACAGCCTATCCACAATTTGTCAAAACGTCTGGAGCGTTGGGCTGAGCATTTTGAAAAGCGATTTAATCGGCAAGAATTGTTCGATTCGCCGGTCACTGATCGCCCCGCTCCGTGGGCTGTCCCTTTGGATCCACCCTCTCGCTCAGAAGTCGAACGTGAGATCGGACTGTTGAAGTTGAACAAAGCCGCGGGACCAGATGATCTTCCTCCAGCCCTCTTCAAATTTGGAGGCTCTGCTCTTGTTGATGCTTTGCATGAATTACTAGTGAAACTGTGGGAGCAGGATACTGTCCCAACCGACTGGAGCCGCTCCGTTATTGTTCCCATCTTCAAAGGCGGCTCGCGCTCGGAATGCGGCAACCATAGAGGAATCAGTCTGATCTCCATCGCCTCCAAATTACTCGCGTCCATAATTCTCCACAGACTGACTGGCGCTCGTGAAAGCCAGATTCGTGAGGAGCAAGCCGGGTTTCGTCGGGGTCGTGGCTGCATCGACCACATCTTCACCTTGCGTCAGTTGTTGGAGCACCGTCACACATATTGGCGGCCCACCGTAGTCATGTTCCTCGACATCAAAGGTGCCTTTGATTCGGTTGATCGATGTGGCCTTTGGAATTGTCTACTCAGGAAAGGTGTGCCCGAGAAATATGTAAATATTATCCAAGCATTATATGCGCGTAGCACGGGCAGAGTAAGGGCTTACAGCAGGCTGTCGCCACCCTTCAATATCTCCAGCGGTGTGAGACAAGGATGCCTGCTGTCACCTTTCCTCTTCAACTTCGCTATTGACGAAGTCATGGAGATTGCATTTACAGGACATGACTTGGAAGGTGTGGAGCTACTCCCAGGAGAACGACTTCTTGACTTAGAGTATGCAGACGACATTGCCCTCATCTGTGACAGCTCCCCGACGTGCCAAGCCGCGCTGGACAGATTAGCACTGGCTGTCAGTCGCTTCGGGCTTTGCTTTGCACCACCGAAGTGCAAAGCGTTCCTCCAGGATTGGCAGGGTTCGCCCCCTGTGCTGACCCTTGGTGGGGATCAGCTAGAAGTCGTTCAGAAATTCAATTACCTGGGAAGTTGTATCAGCGCCCTTGGGATCGAAGACGAGATCACGAACCGCATAGCGAAAGCTCGAAGTGCTTTTGCTAACCTTCGCCACCTATGGCGACGGCGCGACATTACTCTCGCCCTGAAGGGTAGAGTGTACAATGCAGCGGTACGTTCGACCTTACTGTACGGTTGCGAAACCTGGCCCCTAAGATCGGCGGACATGAAGAGGCTACTTACCTTCGACCATCGGTGCCTTCGCAGTTTGGCTCACATCTGGTGGGAACACCGCGTGAGTAACGAGCGTGTTCGACGCCTTGTTTACGGCCTAGGAAAAGGGAATGAACCGCTCAGCACCGTCATTTCACTCACCAGGCTCCGATGGCTGGGCCACGTGTTGCGCATGCCAGCCCACCGACTCCCTCGACCTGCGTTGTTTGCTCACCGGGGATGTGGGTGGAAGAAGAGGAGAGGTGGCCAAGCGATGACTTGATCCAGAGGAATGAAGGCCCTCACTTCGGAGCTGGCCTCAGTTGGAGCTTCACGGCTCCCTGGTTGGGGTCCAAAAGACGGTGAACACGTTTGGCTGGATACACTTGCTGATATGGCAAGGAGCCGACCTCAGTGGCGTTCCTGCTGTGAGTTTCTTTGTCCCTCCCCATCCCTTTAGCCTCCCTCCATCTACGATCTTATTTCGTAGGGTAAAACGTAATTAAATTTTTTGCCTAGTAGCCGGCTAGTAGCTTACCGGAACGATGCGTATCCGTTGCTGGTAGCTCAGCTGGCATTCAACTGTAGTATTTATTTTTCCTTTATGTTTTGTATGTATGTATGTATTTCCTTTATGTATTGCGGTACAATAGCGGAGGTGTTTTACCATCTCTAGCTGACATGTATAATGATGATGATAATTCTGATAAGAGCAATCCCAGCTCACGTACAATAGCGTGATTGTTACGTGACCACTGGGAGCTCTACACTGCGAATTACCCATATCAAACCAGAATCATCTAGGTCACGTATTAAAAACATCAGCTACAGTTGAATGGGCGGTTAGTCTCTGGTTAGCCATTGATCGTATATTAAATAAAGCATGTTATTCAGACCTCCATGCTCCATTGTTTTATGTTAATGTACGCTCTTGTATGTTGAACAGTGCTCCTGATCAAACCGGAAGAAATGGCGCCATCGAGGAAGGTTGTCGCAGCATGTATCTGTGTCCCCATTTTAATCTTTCCTTTACACGGCCACAACCGCGTAACGTTCGCATGGGAGAATAATGCGATAGAATACGCTTACTTCTCTGAAGTGAACTACAGCTACACTCTGGTGTGCTATTGGCCACTTCTCTCCCTATTCGTTTCATATGATGATGAAACAGTGCACTGTCGCTGGCGATCGTTATTATTGGCATGTCGCCAGTGCAATGCCCTAAACACAACTGACTTGTGACTCACATTCGCGTCTTCTGAAGTCAACCGCTGAGACTCTGTTTCGTAACTGCTGCATGAATAAAAGACAACGTTAGGATAGGCTCGTGAGATGCACTGTGTTGTGCTTAAAATCAAGTGAGCACACTCATCGCTTGCATGTGGCGTTTATGTGTTGGTTCAACAAAAATGATCGGATCGTGGGTATAGCACTGAAATGTCCCACCGTTCACACGACGGTGTCCGCTGAATGGGTCCCGAGCGAGAGAAGTGTTGAAGCAAAGTAGCGACTGCGTCTTCGCGCACTGGTTGTGCTGGAGTAGATAGGCTTGGTAAATCCGGAGATGTTCCTCCAACAGCCTGCGTGTGAAGCACTGTCATTGCGACCCTTCGACTTTAAGACAAATACCGAGTCGGTCATTGAGTGATGATATATTAGCAAGTGAGTAAAGTTCACGATTCCCCTCTTGTATCTTGCTGAAAACAGCCCACAGAACCTTAGTGACCTATCTAGCTATACTGGTAACCATTGCGCGCACATGCCAAGATGGCCCGCTCTATCGCTGAATCAGCGGTCAAAAGTGCATCAAATTTCTTGGGTAACACGCTAGCACCACAAGACTCGACAAACGGTCACAAAGAGGCTTGAGTGATAAAAAGGCACATAGGGGAAAAAGAAAATTACGAGGCCAGGTGGATCAAAAAACCTGACTGAAAGACCAGAGGAATTAGAGATTGCATCTCTACATAGTATTCAAAGCGGTAGAAGGGGATTCGCTTTCATCCTGTTTGGCTTCTGTGAGCTGCATTGGAGTGCTGATGCTGCGACTCTCGACCAGCATTCTCAGCCTCCGTGAAGACGATTCCAATTTAGCCCGATGATTGGCCAAATTCACAGCCAGGTGAAGTGCCCGCCGAAACGATGCTTGTGCCCTGCGAAGGCTAGCCGGGACCAGCACGCCAGCAAACCATCGTATGGGATCCGCGGGTGGATCGATGTGTACACCATTGACCAGCAACTCATCCAAGACTTGCATCTGAATAGTCTCGTCTCCGATGGCACGGCTCGGTGCAAGTGTCTGATGTTGAATGAATAAATAACTTTTGTATAAGCAATGATATTGGAATTACTTAGAACGGTCGTTAAAAGAATGATGGATATAGGCATACAATTACTTAACAGACAGCTTGATGTCAAAGATGACGCTCATTTCAGTTTCTCAACAATAACCGGGGCACTACTACTGAACTTCGGCTCGTCACATCAACAAGAACTAGAGAGGATGAACCAAACACGATGCGAGGGGGTGGTACGTAAAAAATAGTCAGAATTCGATTAACTATGAGGCTACTAGCATAAACAGGATAACTGATCGCCACTAACTTACAAACTTTCGACACAATCCCGATTACAAGAGAATGAGAGCGTTAGTTAAGCGAAGCAAGCAAATAACACTTACCTTTACGACTTGATGTGCTCAGTGATGAAAGGAAATATGGTCCCGATGAAACTTACATAGGGATAACCTGCATCTAAATTTATACATTAAATGGACTGGGATCATGTCTGCCGGGTGCTCAAAAACTGCTTACCAGTCCAATTTTGGTACGGAATGTGAGTGTTACAGATTGCCTGTGATAGTGGAGGTGCATGAGTACTGTCCAAGCCGCTCGATAGCCAACAAAATACTAATCCACAAAAACGCATATCTGGTTTACCGCGTTCACAGGTTTATCGTCTGCTACCGTGGAAAAGCATAAATGAACTGTTCTGAATCTTCGAGAAGTGCGTATCGGCAGCATCCAATTGGGGCCAGGCAGGCACAATCCACAAAGCATAATCTGCTCCCCAATGTCTTGTGAATCAAGCGTAGCGAATGAAAATCTGTCAGCTTCCAAAAGAACCAATTCGCCCACCTTTCTTCGCTACAATGTGGATTTCTTTAGACTAATCGACATAGTCACTCGAGAATTCACAGCTTGTGCCGATGGTGTGTCAATCAATCGTTAGTCAAACCAAAAATCTCAGTTCACATGGTGCGCTTCAACATTTGTTATGTCGCACTGGTAAGCAGAGAAAATCGCCTATCCTCCCGCTTTAGCTCTAAAATACGATCATTTAGTGTTATTGTAACTACCAGTTCCACATTTCTGATGACTGTATGCTCTATACATTTCTTGTGACGTCGGGTTAATAATTCCGTGTACGCTGTGTTTGACCCTATCGCCCACCAGAATCAATAGCATCTGAAGGCACGGTTCGACCGGAAGTTATCACAATGACAAGTACTTCAGCAACTGGCTTCTCTCATCCGCGCGGTCAAGAATGCCAAAACGGGCTATTTACTAAGAAAAAGAAATGGGAAATTTTTTCACACGTCATTTTCAAAACAGCAATAGTGCCTCGCAAATAGATAAATCCATTCACCTGTGGAGGCTGTGATCCTTAAGGATGAATACAGGAACTAGTATGTGCACTTATTACTTCGAGGGGCTAATCACGTAAGGTACCTAGATGCTTCAGTCACCAAACGGTTGAGAGTACTTTGCACACTAGTGTCATCATCAAAAACAGCGGCACCTCAGCCATTTGAACTGACGCTTCGCTGCTGTGCAACCCCAATGGCCTACGGAACGATGGATAATAAGAGAGAGAAGGCGGACCCAGAGTAAATTCTTAATGCATTAAGGATACATAAACGTCGGCGAACATATACGGTCACAAACAGCTATCGTGTTAAGATAACGCGGCATTGGGGAGAGTTTCCTTGCGACATTCACTTCCCCGCATTATAATCAACCATTACTCCACAGATAATCTAGCATCAACCACACTTTAAACAGACAGTCTGACTATGAAACAACAGCGAACGCGAGTCACGTAGACTCCAGCCTGTGAGGTTGGACTTCATTTGCCGCTGCAAAGTTAACTTTTGCCTACCTCGAGTCCTGTGCCACCCCGCATCTGCAAATAAAACAAAATACTCAGTGAGTTCCCAACTAGTAAAGTGATATCGTTAGTACCAACTAAGTCGGTCGGCCGCCCACCTGGAAAAAGCTCCAAGACAAAATCTAGGTAACCTTCCAGAGCTATCGATAGGACGTCTTTAACTGAAGAGGAACGGTGACAATGGTCATCCCTGTCGTACAATGACATTGACAATGAAGGTAGTTTACCGTAAATCACCATGCTGCGCGAAACGTGGAGGTATAATGCACGGAATATGGTAGTATACTCTTTGGGGACCCCGTTCTTTAGTAAGCGACGTCACAGAGCAGGTCGATTAACTGGATCAAATGCGGTCCGAATGTCTAGAGATGACATACTTCTGGTAGAGGCGCCGACAAAAAATCGGTCCACGCACCCACGGTCGGGAAGTGAACCAGTCTGTTCTTCACGGCAGTATGATTCACGACCAATCGTGAAGCAGAGCAGATGTCAATAGCCTAATGGCAGATAAAATGGGAGTAATTCTTTGGTGATTGACGCCTTATTCAAGAATCGGGACAATAGCTACATCACCTTAACAATATGCCTTTTCTTTATGCCAGATTCTGGAGAACAACGGGATCAGTTGGCAGTATCATTACGCCACCGTACTTGAACAGCTCTGGAAAGTCCTCTGAGCCGGAATTCTGCAAGGTATCAAGACAGACTTCCGATACACCGAGTGGATCCATGTCAGACGGGAGGGTACACGATCAGGTGGCAGAAACCAACTAAATTAATCGAACTTAGGATATGGGAGTTATTCATGCATGAGAAATTTCCGTACATTTTGGCTTGACTCTTCGCGAAAGCAGTATTTCTAGAGTCCAGGAATATATATTTTATTCATTTATTTATAACTGATATATATGGTTGGCGGTATCCGGTTTCAGACTTGCCTGTCACTGTGGCCAGCCACAAGACGCGTGCGCCTACAGAATGACCATGGATGGCTTGCGCTGCACCACCCACAGCTCCATCCACACACCCCATATCCAGTGTAAACCCGAAGGAATAAGACCGGCAGGCATGTGGATGGGAGCCACATTTCATCAACGGCGCCGGCCCACGCTCCTTCACAGGCAAACACAACCACATTGTATTTGAAAATCAAGCGCACACAAGGCGGTGGCTGGACCGTAGTCCGCTCCACACTGAGTGCATGGAACCACTCGTTGATCCTAATATGGCCACAAGGACCGTGCACTCCGTCCCCTCCAGCAACGACCAACTCTCCCCTAGAGTCAGTACGGACGAGGTAGTGGGTAATAGACAGGTAGGCACCTTGTCAACATGTACATCAAGCGCAACCACACCGGGGGTATCAAGCAACAGCCAATCGCTTGAGAGAAATATAACAAAGGAAATAAATCGAGTAATGCACAAGGAAACGGTGACATAACTCTTCACTTAGTGAGCATAAGGGAGCAATGAATAATTTGCCAGACAGAAGTTACCGCTACTTTTGGTCACCCCAACGTGACAGCCTGCAGTTTCATTAAGAAAGGTCTTGTCTTAACGCCAGCACATTATGACTTAAAAGCAAACATCACTGTCTCTGCAGATGTCCCTAGTTATGGAGTTATGCAGTTTTTCGTCAGCGCTACGATCCTAGCACGTGCGTTAACAAAATCTGGAAGGAACTATTCATAGGCCAAAAAGCCACTGGTTTTAATCTTTCTTGTGAAAGAATTCCATCGTGTGTTACGGGGCCGAGAATTCATAATGGAGATGGCCATTTTCGGTGCCAAGAAGGGCATACTTGTGTACACGGCGAGTCGTCGGCAGTATTGGGTGACACTGTTGCTCGGGAGCAATTTTACTATAGCCTAAGGGTACCACAGTAGTGTTCCGCTACGCCGATGCACTTTCCAGGCTTATTGCAAGGATGTTGAGCATAGGAGAAAACCAGGCGGAAGTGCCAGTAGCGATGCAGTCGGACGCCAAACAGTTTCCACGCAATTCAACCAAGACCTTTTCGATAGCTTCTGTGGACATGCAGAAACACATTAAACACGACACTCTTTGCAAGACACCATGTATTTTTTGGACATACACCCACCAATCCTATCATTGATGTGACAAGCTGGCGCTGGTCTATAGTTGCGTCATGTTCGGGGGACGTGTCGTTTCGAAACACCTACGAGAATAAGTATTAACGTACTTATCAATACATCATCCCGGAATCTTATGAATGAATGGCCTAGTCCGGAATTACGTATATTATACCCCCCACTACCATTGGTACCTAGGAATGCGCCGTCACATGTAGTGATTGTGATTCACCAGCGAATATACATGGCACGCTGAGGCTTGTGGTGGCTAGATCCTGACAGATCGTTGATGCGCTGCTCGCAATGCGGTGTCGTGGACGTCCTGGACGTCTTCTCATGCCGACCGTTAGGTGAGAGTTGGGTTACACTCTTCTTATAGCTACTAAGAGACAGGATACACAATTCCGCGTGAGTCGGTTCAATGACCCAAGGCGCACGGCCCGCTGTCTTTCAGGAGTACATTTGATTGAAAGCTTCGGCTGAGAACCCAAGTCGTTCTCCTGTCATGGAGTGGGCACTCTAGTCCAGAAATCTAACGTGCATTAGGCCAATAATACTAATCCAATGCTGCATCGGCCGTCGCGCAGTGGCCTTAAGAAAAGGGTCGCCTTACCTACTGCACACAATGGGATGTGACATATAAAGTACATACATGAAGTTGCACTCGCAACCAGTTTTCTGTCGTTATTCATCACAATCTTTCTACTCTTTTTCAGCTTATACGATTCGCTTTCTTGATGAATAAAGCTTATTCATTCGGACTATACACATTCTCACTTGGTGTGTTTGTTCTCTGCCAATTCATATAACAATTTATTCAGCAAAAATGGACTGTATCCTCTGACCTGACCGTTTTAATGGTGATCCCAACAATGCAAATGCTGCGAAGCAGTGGACACACTGGTTTGACACTCACGTATTTTTGGACACTACTGACACTTCGTCACTTAACAAATTGAGGATCTTCGCTAATTACGTATACCCTGGTGCATATGATTACATTAAGGAGTGTGGAATCTACGAACTTGCCATCTAA